AGTTGGTGGCAATTCAGGAGGAATGGCATTTTGGCTCTTAAGTTATCTTATGTACTTATATGGTGCCCACTACTATAGTAACTGAGCACTTCACAGTCTTTTATGTAGTTATTCTCACAACGCCCTGTGAGATAGGGAACCTTTATTCTCTGCATCTGAAGAAGTGAGGTTCTTACTCATGAAAGCTTATGCTCCCAATACTTCTGTTAGTCTTAAAGGTGCCACAGGACCCTCTGTTGCTTTTTACAGATTCAGACTAACATGGCTACCCCTCTGATACTTTATTCTCTGTGTCTCTATTCCCCATCAGATAAATGGGATAAGTGACTTGCCCAAGGTCACACAGGAAGCCTGGCCAAGCAAATACTTGAACTCAGGTCTCAAGTCGTTGGCCAGCACCCTAACAATTTGACCATCCTTGCTTGGAAGTTTAATATTCAGAGCTAAATTCATCAGCGACATAAATAGCAGTATAAAGAATATTTTGGATTGTCCAGAAAATGGGTATAAACAGTTGAGTGGTGTCACTCGCACTGATCTGGCATTCAATGGTTTTGCAAAACAAGTATCTTATACTACCATTATATAACTGTGGAACTTGGCTCAGGACCTACCCTGGGAGTAGTAACCAGGTTCCTCTTCTATTTTGTTTGGGCATTTGTGTCTGTTTCAGCCTTTACAATTTCCATACCTGGCGAAGATGGAATGCAATGAACAGTTAAACTTCTAAATTCATCCCACTGAAATGGCAATCCTAATGTGCTAAGAAATCAAAATGATATTTTTATGGCATGAATAATTCTATGGACTCTGGTTTATTCTTGCAGATAAATCAGTAATAGGGGCTGTAAGTGCAAAGACAGACAACTTGAAAACAGTAATTAAAGAGGAATTATTTTTGATATAACTATTTTAGAGAATACAAAATAATGGTGTCAAAATTCTGACTAAGTACACTCAGAAGAATAGGCTAATCTAATACTAAATAGGCTATCTAATTACTCTGCTACTGTCTACCCTTCATCACAAAGGGCCAGATTCTGTCTCCCATATTCATGTGTAGGTAGCATCTTACTCTGAGAAGCCCCACTGATTAAATTATATGACTCAGAATAAGGTACATATCAGCATTAGTAAGGGTTGCCGAATCTGATTGTAGTCTAGAACCAGGTAGTATTGTGTGGCAATAATCCAGTGGCATTTGAGTCACAATGTAGATTAATGTAGCTTCTAAATATGGACATAGGAAACAATACTATGAAATTATCATCTTTAACTTCATTAATGCAAAATATTTGCAAGAATTTACAGTAGAAAATTCCGCAGCCTTGTGAACATCTTTTGTTGTTGTTGTTTTTAAATGAAACCCAAACAGTAGGCGCTGACACATTTTTTGTGTGCTTAGTATTGAAACCTCAAATCCCTCATCTTACTTAGAGAACTTAGTGAAGGTTTGCAGCAAAACAACATAATTGGCCTGATGGTTCCCTTACATATACCTGTTTTAAGCCAGTGTAAATCCAATGACTAAATGGAGATGCCATTGATTTATGTTTGTGTGTAGTAGAGGAGAATTGGGACCAGTCACCTTGAAGAGATAAGAAAACTTTTCTTTTTCTCTGATGATGCAAAGAACTTTGTGAAAGATCTTATAAAAGAGGACTCTTTCCCCTTTGCCTGTAGGCTTCTGAAGTTGTCTTTGTTCCAGATGTTCAATATCTGTAGGGAATTTGATGGCTGTAATTTTGTGGCTTAAAAAATGAGTCAATTTGCCAACTCAAAGTTCAACATGGACTTCTGCATCCAAGATGAAAAGTTAGACTGAACTTGCTAGGGTGAGAGCTTATTTTTCTTTAAACATTAATATTTTTTGTATTTTTTATGAAACTCTTCCAAAGAGGCATTTGTTTTACTTACTGTTACTTGCAAAACTAACATCAATGCCTGCAAGCTTCTAAAAAGTGTGACGATTCAGACTATCTATTCCTTTCTACTTGTCTTTACTGTTTCTCACCATCACAGTCCATCTTGTGAACATACAATACAACAATGCCATCAACAATATTCCTGAAGCCATCAGTCTGAATCTAGCATAGAGTAAAATCAACAAAAACATCCCCTGAATTTCACATAGACCATTACTTTGGATTTCCTTGGGGAGGCAGGGTCAAACGTAAAAATTTTATTCTGGATTTTCTAGTCTGGCTGAGCGACATGTGGTAAAGGTCTGGGAAGCATATGGTGTAAATGTGATTTGGTGCCTTTGCCATTCCCATTCCCGAGGCAGGCCTTGATGCCTAGCCTAACATAGAACTTTATTCTGAGACTCCTTAAATTAAAGCCTGAGCTGTCTATTTCCCCAGAGGCAGTGCTAGCTCTCAGGTTGCCAGAGAACAGCACTAATCCAGCCATACCCTTTGTTAACTACTGCTTGGTAACAGTGACCATAATATAATTAAACTTAATATCCCTGTGGCAGGAAAAACACCACAGTGGCCCAACACTGTAGCATTGAATTTCAGAGAGGGGAACTACACAAAAATGAGGAGGTTAGTTAAACAGAAATTAAAGGGTACAGTGCCAAAAGTGAAATCTCTGCAAGCTGCATGGAAACTTTTTAAAGACACCATAATAGAGGCCCAGCTTAAATGTATACCCCAAATTATAAAACATAGTAAGAGAATCAAAAAAGAGCCACCATGGCTAAACAACAAAGTAAAAGAAGCAGTGAGAGGCAAAAAGGCATCCTTTAAAAAGTGGAAGTTAAATCCTAGTGAGGAAAATAGAAAGGAGCATAAACACTGGCAAATGAAGTGTAAAAATACAATTAGGAAGGCCAAAAAAGAATTTGAGGAACAGTTAGCCAAAGACTCAAAAAGTACAGTAACTCTCACTTAAAGTCGTCCCGGTTAACATTGTTTCGTTATTAGGTGGCTGATCTATTAGAGAACATACTCGTTTAAAGTCACGCAATGTTCTGTTATAAGGTTGTTTGGCTCGCCCTGCTCCATCCATTCACCCAGCGCTCCTGGCGGGGAGCAGGATTGGGGCGCGGGGACTTGCCCCAGTCCACCCGCCCGGCGCTCCTGCCAGGGAGCGGGGTCAGGGTGCGGAGGCTTGCCCTGCTGGCGTTCCAGCCAGGGAGCGGGCAAGTCCCCGACTCCGCTCCCCGGCAGGAGCACCAGAAGGGCAGAGTGGGGCAAGCCCCTGACCCTGCTCCCTGGCCGGAGCACCAGACGGGCGGAGTGGGGCAAGCCCCGGCGCCCCGACCTCATTATGCCCTGCCTCAGCCAAGCTTCACAATCATCATTGGTGAGTACAGTATTAAATAGTTTGTTTAAAATTATTTAAAACGTATACTGTATATGTATATAATGTCTTTTGTCTGTTGAAAAAAATTTCCCTGGAACCTAACCCCCCAAATTACATTAATTCTTATGGGGAAATTGGATTAGTTTAACATTGTTTCACTTAAAGTAGCATTTTTCAGGAACGTAACTACAACGTTAAGCGAGGAGTTACTGTAATAGCTATTTTTTTAAGTACATCAGAAGCAGGAAGCCAGCTAAACAACCTGGATGATTGAGGTGCTAAAGGAGCACTCAAAGCTACTGCGGAGAAACTACATGAATTCTTTGCATTACTCTTCACGGCTGAGGATGTGAGGGAGATTCCCAAACCTGAGCCATTCTTTTTAGGTGACAGATCTGAGGAACTGTCCCAGATTGAGGTATCATTAGAGGAGGTTTTGGAACAAATTGATAAATATCCATATTGGGATACCTGCATTTAGAGATTAGAAAGTGATACACATCTTTACACAAATTTTAGCTCAGACTAGGATTAGATGAAAGACTAGGATTCCATTTCTCCCTAATGATTTCATTGCTTTGTGCTGTTCTGGAAATGCAAAGCAGCTGGAAAACTGGCTTAACTAGCCTCTGTTTGGTTTCCACTTGGGTAAATAGCATGGAGCCAGGATAGTAGGTCTATACCAGGCCCTTCTCCTGGACTCTGTTTTAGGAGGTGAACATAAGAATGGCCCTTCTGGGTCAGACCAAAGGTCCAACTAGCCCAGTATCCTGTCTTCTGACAGTGGCCAGTGTCAGGTGCCCCAGAGGGAATGAACAGAACAGGTAATCATCAAGTGATCCACCCCCTGTCACTCATTCCCAGCTTCTGGCAAACAGAGGCTAGGGACACACTTCCTGCCCATCCTGGCTAATACTCATTGATAGACCTATTCTCAATGAATTTATCTAGTTCTTTTTTGAACCCTGTTATAGTCTTGGCCTTCACAACATCCTCTGGCAAGGAGCTCCACAGGTTGACTGCGTTGTGTGAAGAAATACTTCCTTTTATTTGTTTTAAACTTGCTGCCTATTAATTTCATTTGGTGACCCCTAGTTCTTGAGTTATGAGAAGTAGTAAACAACAGTTCCTCATCTACTTTCTCTACACCAGTCATGATTTTATAGACCTCAATCATATCTCCCCTTAGCTGTCTCTATTCCAAGCTGAAAAGTCCCCGTCTTATTAAGCTCTCCTTGTATGGAAGCCTTTCCATACCCCTAATCATTTTTGTTGCCCTTTTCTGAATCTTTTCCAATTCCAATATATCTTTTTTTGAGATGGGGCGACCACATCTGCACACAAGACGTGGGCATACCATGGATTTACATAGCGGCAACATGATATTTTCTGTCCTATTATCTATCCCTTTCTTAATTATTCCCAGCATTCTGTTCGCTTTTTTGACTGCCACTGAACAGTGAGTGGACGTTTTCAGAGAACTACCCACAATGACTCCAAGATCTCTTTCTTGAGTGGTAACAGCTAAGTTAGACCACTTCTACAGGGATGAATGTTGGGGTTAGGGAAAGAGGTGCTATGCTCCATTATTTTCCTCTCTAGCAGCTCCATACAACAGAGTAGAATTTCATCTGCAACATCCATTAAGCAAGGAACAGTTTTCACTAACAAACTTCTTTTCCTTACAGAGGGAATTGTTGGGCAAAATCAGGTGACAGTCAATTCCTGTCCATGGACCTGGTCACCTGTGATCCATTCCTACTCTACTTGCGCTACATTGATGACATCTTCATCATCTGGACCCCTGGGAAGGAGGACCTTGAGGAATTCCACCAGGATTTCAACACTTTCCACCCCACCATCAACCTCAGCCTGAACCAGTCCACACAAGAGATCCATTTCCTAGACATTACGGTACTAATAAGCGATGATCACATAAACACCACCCTATACCGGAAACCTACTGACCGCTATACTTACCTACATGCCTCCAGCTTTCATCCAGACCACATCACACGATCCATTGTCTACAGACAAGCTCTAAGATACAACTGCATTTACTCCGATCCCTCAGACAGAGACAAACACCTACGGGATCTCTATCAAGCATTCTTAAAACTACAGTACTCACCTGGTGAAGTGAAGAAACAGATTGACAGAGCTAGAAGTGAACCCAGAAGTCACCTACTAAAAGATAGGCCCAACAAAGAAAATAACAGAATGCCACTAGCTGTCACCTACAGCCCCCAACTAAAACCTCTCCAGTGCATCATCAAGGATCCATAACCTATCCTGAAGGATGATCCCTCGCTCTCACAGACCTTGGGAGGCAGGCCCGTCCTCACTTACAGACAGTCCCCCAACCTGAAGCAAATACTCACCAGCAACTACACACCACACAACAAAAACACCAACCCAGGAACCAAACCCTGCAACAAACCCCGGTGCCAACTCTGTGCACATATCTATTCAAGGAACACCATCATAGGACCTAACCACATCAGCCACACCATCAGGGGCTTATTCACCTGCACATCTAACAATGTGATATATGCCATCATGTGCCAGCAATGCCCCTCTGCCATGTACATTGGGCAAACCGGACAGTCTCTACACAAAAGAATAAATGGACACAAATCTGACATCAGGAATAATAACATTCAAAAACCAGTAGGAGAACACTTCAGTCTCCCTGGTTACTCAATAACAGACCTAAAAGTGGCAATTCTTCCACGCAAAAAACTTCAAAAACAGACTCCAACGTGAAACTGCAGAACTGGAATTAATTTGCAAACTGGACACCATCAAAATTGGCCTGAATAAAGATTGGGAGTGGGTTGGGTCATTACAAAACCTAAACTTAATTTCCCCCATACTAATTTCCTCCTATTTTACTCACACCTTCTTGTCAACTGTTTGAAATGGGCAACTCTCTTTACCACTACAACAGTTATTTTTCCTCTCTTGGTATCCTACTGTTAATTGAATTGTCTCATTAGACTGACCTCACACTTGGTAAGGCAACTCTCATCTTTTCATGTATTTATACCTGCTCCTGTATTTTCCACTCCATGCACCTGATGAAGTGGGTTCTAGCCCACGAAAGCTTATGCCCAAATAAATGTGTTAGTCTCTAAGGTGCCACAAGGACACCTCGTTGTTTTTGCTGATACAGAATAACGCGGCTACCCCTCTGACTCCTGCTTTGTGCACTGCTGCTAGAGATGGACCCTGGGAAATAGCACAAACATAAGGGCGATCTCAGGCTGAAATTCAGCTGGGGTAAGGGTCCTATGCCAACCCTGCTCCCATCTCAGTGCTTAATTTATTCTAGGGCTGAACCCCCACACCTCTAGACTTGGTGCATCAGTTATGAAAGTAAAAAAAAATTGCTTGAGTCCCAGCATCTCTTTCATTACAAATTGAGCACTGTCCCATCTCCTGAGATGGGGTGATGTTGTGGCAGGTTGCACTGTGCTTTCGGTATTTTCTACTTCCCTTATTCATTAGGAAGCAGAACATAAAGTAGAGCAGCTGAGGTGGGTGTTAAAGCTGCCTTTGCACACTCACCTCTGCTTTTGGATTCAGCATAGGCATGGACTGAGAAGTGGGGCTTTATTTTAGCTGTTTACCAAGTTACTAGATCATTGAGTAGGGTAGATAACTGATGGGCATCTGGAAGGCTGAAGGTCATCATGTTTTTTTATGGAACCAAAAAATAACATACGCTCTCCTACAACACTCATTTTAATCACAGTAATTGGAAGCCATTAGAATCAGTTATAACTAGCATGGTGGGATTACTTGTTCTAGTTTACAGGAATGTTCTATTTTATAAGGATAGTGGGCAGGAGTCTGTGTTCTGTTAGCAAAGCAACACCATTAATTTCAGTAGAATTATTCTGGATTTACATACAGTGGAGATCAGAACTTGACCTTGGTATCGTAACTGTGTGATGCCATGAAAATAGGATGCTTAAATGAAAATCTTAATAGATCTCTAAATATTAATGCATGAGCAGATGCCACTATGAAGCAATTAAACTTAGATTTTGAAGCAGATCTTTATTTTTCTTCATAGCTTGCTTTATGGGCTTGGGAAAGCAATGGTTTCTTTCTGCAGAAACACTTAGTCCTGTGTGCTGATAAAGTAAAAAAGCACTTCAGTTTACAAAGTTTTAAACGCCAAATACAAAAGCATTTCACCGAACCTACCTGTTCATTGTGAAGCCTGAACGAATGGTGAAAAATAATCTCATCTAGACTGCAAATCCATGGGAACTATAAGTCATCTGAATTATTATCTGACAGTATTAAACGATACTCAGGTTATCATTAGCTGATCTTGGGTGTTGTATTAACCCTTAAAGTGGATGAATACACTACAATTAGTTATTGATTTAGTTTAACTTCTATACAGCATTTTCACCTTTCATCATAATAGATGAGCTATTCTTTTTTCCAAAACAATATACAAGTTGGTTTAAATCCTAAAATTACTGATGTCTTTACCTACACAACATATTCTATAGGACTGAATGTCTTGTCCTAGAGTCCTTCAGTGAAAACCTGGATAAAAGAAGTAACTATTTAAAGGTTGATAAAATGGAGTCCCTAAAATTAGATAACAAGGCACATTGGAGAAATTAAGTTCTCTCTTAACTTGCAACCATTTGTAATAGTTTATTTATTCAAGGTATTTCTTCTATAGGCAAACTATCTAATCCTGGGAATACCGATCTTTGGAGAAGTCTAGAGTGCAGTACTTTCAAATGTAAGTGAAACAAATATTAGATACATAGTGAATAACTGTTATACTGAACCACATTCTTGAGGTCTTACTGAAGTCTTCAGACAATCACCTTTACAGTAATAAAACAAGTTATGGTAGGGAGCCATAAAGGTATTGTTTCAAGACTCCAAAATAAAGACCCATATCTTGGCACAGTGGGAATAAGATGAGAACTGGACTCAGTTCAGTATCTTAACACTATTGTAATGTACACTTTTTAATGACTGTAAATCTCTTTTTCAAAGTACCTAATGCTACCTAGAATTTTTCCTGTTGTGATGATTGTACTCCTCTGAATTAATTGCTGTTTCAACTACATTATATGTTTAAAAAAATCTTGATTTAAAAATTGTCAGTAATGAAGAATGCTCAGCAATCCTTGGTAAATCATCCCAGAGGTTGACTGCCCTCACTGTTAAATTTTTGCACATTCTTTCTAATCTGAATTTGTCTAGCTTCAGCTTCCAAGCATTGTTATACCTTTGCTTGCTAGAATGAAGAACGCATTATCAATTTTTTGTTCCCCATGTATGTACCTACAGACTGATCAAGTCACCGCTTAACTGTCTCTTTGTTAAGGTAAAAAGATTGAGTTCCTTGAGTCTTCCACTGTTTTGCTATCCTTTAATCATTCTCATGGATCTTGTCTGAACCCTTTCAACAGTCCAAGAAGGCTGTTGATAAACTGGATACCAGAACTGGACACAGTATTCCAACAATGGTTGCAACAGTGCCAATATAGAAATAATATAATCTCCCTATTCCTACTCTCTATTCCCCTGTTAATACATCTAAGAATCACATTAGCTCTTTTGACCACAGCATCTCACTGGGAATTCATGCTCAGCTGATTATTAACCATGACCACCGACTCCTTTTCAGACTTGCTGCTTCCCAGTCCCTCATCCTATAAGTATAGCCTTCATTCTTCGTTCCTAGATGCATACATTTACATTTTTCCATATTGAAAGGCACATTGTTTGTTTGTGTTCTGCTTGCAAAGTGATCTGGATAGCTCTTTTGACTGAAAATATAGTCTTTTTTGAGTGGAGTGGCTTCTCCACTTGCTTGCTTGTGTCTGTGTAAGTTACTTTTACAACTGTTACACCATTTTAACAGCATATTTCTATCTTTTTTTTTGCCTTCTCCTGTAAGAAAAGTAATAGAACATTCCTAATCAAAGTAGTAACAGTGCATAAAACATGTTGTTACTGACATAAAAGCTGTGGTCCTACTTGTATTATATCAATCTATTCTTGTCTCCAGGTACATTTTTACGTTTTCCAGTCATTTTACACTTCATTGCTGTAATTATGTCACCTTGTCCTAGCGAGATTAAACATTCCCCCATGAGTATAATCTCATTTTGCTGAAAGAGAAATGTGCATTCCATCTTTTCATTAATTATGTTGGAGCAGCTGGCGACTACTTATTTTTTATGTATTACTAGCCTATTGCATGAACTCTGCCTTTGTCATTTCTTCCTCTAATGTGAAAGGTCTAAGTGATTCATAAGCTAAATGGTGCTGGTAGTTTATCATAACAAAATCTAATTGCATGGTGATATTATTTTAAATGATGTTTTCACAACAAATTAGCATTAACTTCCTCTATTGCCCTTATTATATATATTTCTAGAAACAGAAAATTCAAATTGCACGTCTCTCTCCTAGGCAGACTGACACTGAAAATAAGCAGGCAATTTTTTTCTGATGCTTGACATGTTATAATAGAAATAATTCTCAGCTGTCAGTAGTTCTAATAAATAGATATCTAGATGAAGTGCTAAGGAATCGCCTTGATAGAGTGTTAGGCCAACAAGATTACGTGTTTTTTAATTCCATCAATATGCTGCTTATGGGTTTGATATCACAATACTGAGCATACAGGACTAACTTTTTGTAATATAACAACTGCCTTGATTTAATATAAATGGAATTTTAAAGATCAGGATAAGACTTTAAGATTATCATCCAGAACTCATGGAGGTAGGGTGAGGTCCCAGAGGACTAGAGAAGAGCAAACATAGTACTCATGTTTAAAAAGTGTGCAGGGGGGAAAGAGGACTTAGGGACTTATAGACTAACTAGTCTAACTTATTACCTGGAAAGATACTGTGACGTTCCCTACACTTGTGGCAGGGTACAGTGAAAAGCAGGATGTGTCCATACTCACTAGGGTGTGGTATTTACACTTGGCAGTGAAAAGCAGTGCGGAGCAGA